AGAAATGCTGTCTTTACATCCATCTGATCAAGATGGAAATCCCAGCTTGCTACCACACCCAGCACAGCTCTAATAGAAGTGTGCCTAACCACAGGGGAGAAGATTTCGTCATAATCAACCCTTTTCCTCTGTGAGTAACCATTTGCCACCAATCTTTCCTTGAACTTAACTGGTTCCTTCTCAGACATCCCAGGTTTTACCTTGAAAACCCACTTGCATCCTATCGCCCTCTTGCCTTTTGATAAAAGCGTTAGATCCCATGTTTGATTTCTGTCTAGGCTCTCATTCTCTTCTGTCATAGCTCCAATCCAGAAATCTTTCTCAAGACTTGAGAAAGCCACTTGAAAATTTGTTGGATCACCTGAACCAACCATCAGACAATAATTAGCCATGTCTTCAAACCCTAATATTTCAGGCGGATTAATGATGCGTCTTGGTCTTTGAAGTGCCAAACTCTCATATGCCTTACTATGCTGAACATCCTGCTCCACCTCAACAGGTTGTTTATCATGTCCTGCTGATAGTCTAGTCTCACTAGACTCCTCCTGTGATGTGCCAGAATCTGTTTTAGTCTCAATGATCACAAGAACTCGATCTGATCTCGCTTGCTGCACCATATACTGCTCATCAAAGACCACATCTCGACTGAATACCCTCTTCTTATCAACATGATCATATAACTTGAAGCCTTTCACACCTTTTCCAAAACCCAGAAAAATGCACTTCTTGGATTTCGAATCCATTTTAGATCTTTCGTCATTTGGAACCAGCATGTAAGTTGGGCATCCAAATATCTTCAATTTTGACAGATAAATATCTGTCCTAGTTCAAATCTCTTCAGCGACCTTCCTTCTAGAGAACTCCTAGGCGACCTATTGATGAGATACACCACCATGTTTACTGCCTCTGCCCAGAACTGCTTAGAAAGTCTTGCATTCAACCTCAAACTAAAAAAAGCTTAATCAAAGAGAGAGAAATCGCAAATTGAGGCAAACACCCGTTTAGGGTTTTCTTATTGAATGTGTGAATGATCAATTACAATCCCTAAAGTCTGTATTTATATTCTCAAAAATCCGACTCCCAAACCCACTCGATAAAGGAAATCCTTTATCGAGCCCACTAAGGAAACTGTACCGTGGGGGGCGAAGCCCCCTACACCCCCCAAGTGAATCCGAGCCGTTACATTTCTCAGCTCGCTCTAGCAGGACCCTTTTAGAATACTTTGTCACTATAAACAAACAATATATTAATATGAAACTACGATTTTGCGTTTTGGCAGGAAAATGAGATTTTTTTCGTTTTTGGCAAAATATCAATTTTTTGTGTATCAATTTTCCGTTTTTTGGCGGGAAACCGAGATTTTGAGTTTTTTGGCGGAAATCAAAATTTTTGTATTTTAGACGGGAAATAAAAATTTTTGCGTTTTTGACAGGAAATCAAGATTTTTTTTTTTTTTTGACGGAAAATAAAGATTTTGAATTTTGCGAGAAATTGAGATTTTTGCGGCTTTTGCGAGACATTGAAGTTTTTCGTTTTGATAGGAATCGAGATTATGCGGAAAAACTTGATTTAATGAGTTTCGCGGGAAACTTAGATTTTTGTGGTTTTGACGGAACAACGAAATTTCAAATTTTGGCGAGAAATCGAGATTTTGTGTTTTTGGCGAAAAAACAATATTTTGCGGGGCAACGAAGTTTTTTGTTTTGATGGAAAAATCATGATTTTGCAGATTTTGCGGAAAAGTTTGATTTAATGATTTTTGCAAAAAAATTAGATTTTATGGTTTTTGGCGGGAAATCGAGATTTTCGTTTTTAGGGGGTTTAGGAAAAATATTATTTTGATGAGAATTGTTTTGGCGAAAATTGATTTTTTAAAAGATAATTATGAATATGTTACCGAAGATTATTTTAGTTTGTTTTGATATGCTAAATTTGCATCCAAAACTCTATATTTTTCAGTATCTGAAAATTTTAACCCAATTTTTTTTATCCATTGAGCGGACCAATGTCCTAAATGTCTAACCCGTTTTGTCCATGAGCAAAATTAGAAGAAATCCATTTCAACCCGTTTAAAAATAAATTTGGCCATGACCGGTCCAAAATGTGTTGGACACGTACAGACCATAGGCCGTCCACCCTTTTTAACAGCTTTCTACTCAAGTATAATATTTTTTATTTTATTTAAACGTAAACAAGAATATTTGTAAAACTAAAATAAAAGAAAATCTTCTCAAGCTCTTCTTATCCTCTTTTTCTCTGTCTCTCTCTCGCAAAGAAGAAGCAGAAAACAATTCTCTAGACGATGAAGACGAAGAGAACACATGAAACAGCACTAAGAGCATGTACATTAGAGGGCTTTATTATTAAAAGCTGCTTAAGATTATTATAATATTTTTTATAAGCAATCCTCTATGGGTCAGCCCTAAAAACTCTTCTGCAAGGGTCAGCTCTAATATTTTGGGTTTTCTTTTTATTATTTTAACTCAAAATATTTATTAGCAACCTAAGTAAAAAATATTAAGGGCTCTCAATGAACATGGTTTTAGAACATCACTATCACGATATTTTAAAGGGTTTTTAGTGAAATTTAAAAATAAAATAATCAAATCGTTTCTTTAGTTTAAGAAACATTTTTTAATTGGGGACAAGAAGAGCGTATCTTCAGCTACGTGTTTGCGCGAGATTGATCTTCTTTCTTTTCCCCGAGTCTTTTGTTTTTTTGGATTTCTCCTTGTTTTCTCTGTTGAGAGATTAGAAATGCAGAAATCCGTCTTGTTGATCCAAACGGTGGCAATCTCTGGCGGCGTATTCTCTGCCGTCTCTTGCTGGTGAGTGATGTTTGTTCACATCTATCTCAGCTTGTCTTCTCGATTTTTCGTTTCTCCTCTTCCCATTTCTTCTATTTAGGGTTCATGCTTTGTCTTTTTTATTGTTTAGTAGAGAATTCGCGAGAAAAGAGCTCGGCGGTTTGATTGAAGGACTCGTCGTGGAGGCTCCGACTCTAGCTGCTTCTCCTCCTCATTAGTTTTGATTTCAATTACATTTTCTGTGAATGAGAGCAATTGTTGTATAAACGATGTGTTTATCAAATCCTTCTAGTTAATTCAACTATGAATAACTATTTTGACAATTCGATCTCTGTATATACGAGAGAAATGCACATTGGTTGATGAGAAGAGAAAACCCACATTGTTTGTGATAAGATTGTTTGTAATAGAAACAAAAAAAAATTGCAAATTATTTGAGATTAGAGTTTGAGATTAAAATTTCATATTGCAAAAAAACATTTTTTTAAGAAACTCATCTCGGATTCTACCAATGAACCGACATAAACTAAAGATTTTTTTATCAGAGTTTGTTAACAAAAAATAATAACAAAAATTGCATAATAAATCCATATGGGTTTCTGCAATAATGATGCTCTAATATGTAGGTACACATAGAGACCACTATATTCATACATCTTTATAGAACGAATTCAAATAGTTTTTATTTGACAAAAAAATTTCAAATAAATAAAAAAAAATTACAAAGATATAACTTTTCTGTCATATAGTTTGAAAAAAGTTGATAAAAATAATGAAGAGAACTCTACAAGAAAGTAGAAATCTAAAGAGAGGAGAGGAGACGAATATCTAGAGATGGCTCTCTAGGGACCCCTATTTTTTTACTCTTACGTGTTGGACCGAGATTTATAAAGCCCAAATGGGTTTTATTAAAAATCAGAGTGTGATGATGAAATGGGCCAATACTAGATGTTGGCTTGTTTTTAATGAAGTGCACTTGTCCCACATTGACGGTTTGGTGGAAACATTTCCTCTATATATTAGATCAAGTGTTATAAATGTTCAAATAGCGTGTGAGAGAAAAGAGGAAGCTTCACGCGCGCCACCACCGCAGCAAGCCACACCAGACCGGGCCGAGCGCGGGTCGTGTTGGTCGAATGGGCCTAAGGCAGGTATTATTTTGGGCCAGATTTTTATGAACGTTTCAACATTTTTTTGTTGACTCAAACTTTCTGCTTGCGTTTTTGATTCAGTCAAAAGAATATTGGATATTCATTATCCCCACAAAAATATAACATCAGAGATTGTGACTTTATCACGTTCGCTGATTCTTTGCATTTGACTTCGTTCAAAGTATGGCCAAGATTCGTGTTTGACTCATGGATTTTGTGGGATTTTGCAGACTGCACAAATCTCTTCCTCTGCTATATAAACACGACATCTCCTCTCATTTTAAACACTCACTTACTTCTCATTTTCTACACAGAAAATTCTTGCAACAATCTATGTCTTTTACTGAGAGTATAGTAGAAGTAATAGTTCGTATAGATCCATGTTTCTTAGTGCTTCTGAAAACAGATAAGTATGGTTGTATCCTGCAATTCTTGGATCACAGAAACCCGTCGCACTACGGGCGATTCAAAGAGTTAAGAAAAGAGATCATAGTCTCACCTCCACTCGTATCTCTTTACCTTTACTTTTATATTTAATCTCGTATTTCAATCGTTATTTCATAGTGTACAATCAATTTTGGTCCTACAGTACCATGGTCAATTGCATCTCTTGAACTGTTTTTGTGTAAGTTTTATGGACCTTCCCCATCGAGTCCTTTGAGATGTGTCACCCATTTCAAACCTTGTAGCTCTCAAATCTAAGGCAGCTAACCAAGACATTCCCTTGCACAACTTCATTAGCGATTTGAGTTGGATTTTATAAATAATATACATATAATATTTGAAATTGTATACTTTTAAATTTATTTTTATTCGGAAAATTGTGTTTAGTATACGTATTATATTTAAAATTTGTATACTTCTTAAAATCATTTCTAATCTGCAGATTGTGTTTCTTTCAGAAATGGAAAACTAAACTGCCAATGTCACCTCAGTCGATCAGACTATCACTATTGGGACTGAACAGATCCAGTTTGGGTCTTTCCCACCAGTGACTTGGGTTATCCCGCCTCCGATTACTGGACAATATCAATCGGTTCAGATGCGAGCTGTGAATCCAGTAGGAGTCCTTCCCGAGAAGTTCGATGGGACCAAATTTAAGATGTGGCAGAAGAAGATGTTCTTCTATCTGGCCACACTTAAGCTGGAGAAGTACACCCGTGAAGAGAAACCTATTCTCCCATCAGATAATGATGATGCTTATGCACTTGCAAGCAAGTTAGCTTGGGAACACAGAGACTTCCTGTGCAAAGGATACATTCAGAGTCGTCTTGCTGATGCACTGTTCAACGTGTATAGCAATGTCGAGACGTCTAAAGAACTATGGGATTCTCTAGACAAGAAGTATTGCACAAAAGATGCTGGATCTCATAAATACGCTGTGGCGAAATTTCAAGACTACAAAATTGTGGATTTGAGGCAAATAATAGATCAAGTGGGAGAGCTACAAACTCTTCTCCATGAAATTCATGCTGAGGGGATGAGGCTGTGTGAGACCTATCAGGTCGCATGCATCATTGAGAAGCTCCCATCTAACTGGACGGTCTTTAAAAACTATCTGAAGCTGAAGAAGAAGTGGATGAGTCTCGAAGACCTAACCATTAAGCTTCGTATGGAGTCAACAAACTGAAAGAACCTCGGACAAGGTGTGTAAATTTGCGAATCCAATGTGAATGTGGTGGAACACCAAAACAAAGGGTGCTACAACAAAGGACGCCAAGACAAAGGAAAGGGCAAAGTACCACCACATAACTCACAGAAGTTCAAGAAGAAGAAATCTGGTGGTGGCGAAAGCTCTCAAAAGTTCACTGGAACATGTCACAATTGTGGCAAGACAGGCCAAAAATCCTTTGAGTGCCGCAGCAAAAAGGCTCTAAGGAAAAATGAATCTAATCTCGCCTATCCAGACATGTGCGCGATGATCACTGAGGCAAACGTCGCTGAGAGCCATCCAAAGATTTGGTGGTTCGATACTGGTGCAACCAGGCACATTTGCTTGGATAGGTCAATGTTCTCTGCCTACACCAAGAACAAGAGTGACGAGAAAATCTTTATGGGAAACTCTGCGACATGAAAGATTGAAGGTTATGGGAAAGTTGTTCTGAATCTTACCTCTGGACGTGAGCTTACCCTGACAAATGTGGTCCACGTGCCGGACATGCGCAATAATCTGATCTCTGGATCTCTCATGAGTAAGCATAGATTCACTGTCAAGTTAGATGCGGATAAGCTGGTGCTATCCAAAACGGGATGTATCTGGGGAAAGGGTTTGTTAGTGATGGTCTTTTTAAGATGTGTGTTGAAGCTTTTATTCGCAGAAATGTTGTAACTGAGGCTTCCACCTCGAAGATGAATGAGAATAAGAAACCAGTTACTTATTTGTCTAAGTCTTTTACTTTATAGCACGAATGTTTAGGACATGTTAACTTTAAAACTATGAGTAGATTGATGAACATGAATATGATTCCTAAACACGAAATAAGTAAGGAAAAATGTGAGATTTGCGTTCAAGCCAAACTCACTAAAACACCATCACCAAACGTGAAAAGAACAATTGAACCTCTAAGTTTAATTCACACTGATTTTATGTGACTAGTGGTTTGTGCAAACCAGAGGTGGGAAAAATATTTTGTAACCTTCATAAATGACTGCACAAGATATTGTTATGTATATTTACTAAGCAGTAAAAATGAAGCATTGGTCAAATTCAAAGAATACAATTTGGAAGTGGAAAACCAACTTAATAAAGCTACTAAAATAGTTCGAAGTGATAGAGGAGGAAAATATGATGAACCCTTTAATACGTTCTGTATGGAAAATGGCATTATTCATCAAACTACTGCTCCTTATTCACCAGAGTCTAACGGAGTTGCATAACGAAAAAAATAGAACTCTAAAAAAAACGATGAATGCAATGTTGCAAGAATCTAGGTTAGCCCAGAACATGTGGGGGGAAGCTTTGCTTACCCCAAATTATATCCTCAACAAAATACCGCATAAAATTACGGGACAAACCCCATATGAACTTTGGAAGGGAAGAGTACTTTCATACAAATACCTAAAAGTGTGGGGGTTCTTGGCAAAAGTAGCAGTACCACCTCCGAAAAAGGTCACAATTGGACATAAGACGGTAGATTGCATTTTCATAGGATATGCTCATAATAGTAGTGCCTATCGATTTCTGGTACATATATAAGATAATCAGATATTCATATGAATACAATAAAGGAGTCAAGAAATGCTTCATTCTTTGAAAATGTGTTTCCATGTAAGGATAGAGAAAGCTATAAACGATCTCATGACCAACGATATGCTTGTACTTCTGGAAATGAAGCAAGCACTTCGGGCACTGCTATTAATGACGAAAAAGAAGAAGAAGAACTTAGATGGAGTAAAAGATCTCGTAAAGAAAAAAACATTTGGTTCTGAGTTCTTAGTTGTTTTCCTAGCTGAAAATGAACCAAGAACATTTACAGAAGCAATGTCCACGCTAGATGGTCCTCTTTGGAAGAAAGCTGTTAATAGTGAGATGGACTCAATTAGACAAAACCACACTTACGAGATAACCGATCTACCACAAGGGTTTAAAGCTCTAGGGTGTAGATGGAATTTCAAAACAAAGTTGAAAACCGATGGATCGATAAACAAGTACAAGGCTAGGCTTGTGGTGCAAGGATTTCGACAAAAAGAAGGTCTATATTTCTTTGACATCTATTATCTAGTAACGAGAATAACTTCAATCAGAATGCTGATCGAAATTGCAGCACTGAGATATCTAGAAATCCATCAAATGGACATTAAAACTGCATTTTTAAATGGGGATTTAGAAGAGAAAATTTACATGAAATAACCTGAAAGGGTTGTTGTCCCAGGACAAGAAAACAAAGTCTGTAGACTTGTTAAATCATTGTATGAACTTAAACAAGCTCCAAAATAATGGCATGAAAAATTTGACAATGTAATGATGTCAAATGGTTTCAGCATTAACGACTGTGATAAATGTATATACATAAAAGTACTCCTCACGGGTATGTTTTGCTGCTTATACGTTGATGACATGCTCATTATTGGCAGCAATAAAGACATGATCACTCGAATTAAAAATTTTGCTAAGTAGCAAATTTGATATGAAGGAGATGGGATTAGCCGATGTGATTCTAGGAATTAGAATTATAAAAAACTCGGATGGAATAATCTTGTCCCAAGAACATTATGCTGAAAAAATCCTTGAGCGGTTTAAGAACTACTCAAATGGAGTTGCAAAAACTCCAGCTGACCCTCATTTTCACTTGACAAAAAATTCGGGTGAACCAGTGTTACAAGTGGAATATGAAAGAGTGATCGGAAGTCTTATGTACTTAACAAACTGTATTAGACCCGATTTTTGGTGCACTCAGTAATTGTACTTAGTCGCTATACAAGTAATCCAGGTCATAATCATTGGAAGGCCATAACTAGAATATTGAATTATCTTTGATACACCAAAATTTATGGGTTGCACTACAGTAAAGAACCAGTAGTCTTAGAAGGCTATAGTGATGCCAACTGGATTTCAGATTCTAAAAATTCGAAATCAACAAGTGGATATGTCTTTACACTTGGTAGTGCAGCAGTATCCTAGAAATTTTCCAAACAGACTATGTTGGCCAGATCAACCATGGAATCTGAGTTTCTAGCGCTAGACAAAGCTGCAAAGGAAGCAGAGTGGCCTCGGAATTTTTGGAAGATATCCCGATGTGGAAAAAGCCAGTGCCAACATTACGTGTACACTATGATAGTCAGTCGGCTATATCTCGAGCACTGAATAAGCTATATAATGGTAAATCTTGTCATATTAGAAGACGACACAAAACCATTAGACATTTGATCTCGACTGGTGTACTCACGATAGACGACATCAAATCAGTTAAAAACTTAGCAGACCCTTTTACGAAAAGTCTGGCAAGAGATCAAGTTGTTAAATCATCAAGAGGAATGGGTTTAAAGCCTATAGATAAAAATGACGCCTGATGGTAACCCCACCTATGTGACTGGAGATCCCAAGATCTAGGTTCAAAGGACAAACGAAATCAAGCGGATTCAGAAGTGAGCACTGTGAGACTATGTCTCTTCCCAGTTTCTAAGATGATAGACAGTGCTACCTGTGAGTGTTAATGTTAAGCTGTGGCTTTTAATGATTCCATTAGTTTTGAGATATTCGTGAAGGTTACTTCTTAAAAGAAAAACTAATGGCAGATCACCTAATGAGTGTGAAATGGGGCCGTTTCTAGGAGAGTGAAAGTAAGACTATATTCTCCAAGTTCACTCATGAAACCAGGAATGTTCAAGGCCAAAATAAATACAATAGAGAACTCAAGTTCTACGAGAAAATGTGGCTGCGCGATAACTGTTGTCTCGGTTTACATCAAAGTCTAGGTGTTTCAAGACATCATGTACACCTCCCGGCCAAGTAAACCCGGCATATATTAAAAAAGATTGGTTCAAAGCTGAAAAATGCTACCTCTCAGATACAGTGCATTTTCGCATACTCTCGAAAGTCTGTCTAGTCTAGTCAAAGTAGTGTCTAGTCGAGTCGAGTTTAGTTTATCGAGTCAGTTGAGTCTTCATATGTTTAGAGTCACTTCTCTTCATGTGGGGGAATGTTGAATCGAGTTTTATAAAGCCCAAATGGGTTTTTATTAAAAATCAGAGTGTAAAGAAGAAATGGGCCAATACTAAATGTTGGCTTGTTTTTTAATGAAGTGCATTTGTCCCACATCGATGGTTTGGTGGGAAAATCTCTTCTATATATTAGAACAAGTGTTATACCTGTTCAAATAGCTCGTGAGAGAAAAGAGGAAGTCCTACGTGCGCGCTGCCAAGCCAAGCCAAGCCAAGCCGGGTCGGGTCGGGTCAGGTCGGGCACGGGTGCAGGTCGTGTTGGTCAAATGGGCATTCGGGCCTAAGGCAGATATTCTTTTTGGGCCAAATATTTATGAACGTTTGGTCAATATTTTTTCGTTGACTAAAACTTTCTGCTTGCGTTTTTGATTCAGTCAAAAGAATATTGGATATTCATTATCCCCACAAAAACGTAACGTCAGAAATTGTGACTTTATCACGTTCACAGATTTTTCGCATTTGACTTCATTCAAATTATGGCCGAGATTCGTGTTTGACTCGCGGATTTTGTGGTATTTTGCAGACTGCCCAAGTCTCTTCCTCTGCTATATATACACGACCTCTCCTCTCATTTAACACATTCACTCACTTCTCATTTTCTACACAGAAGATTCTTGTAACAGTCTCTCTCTTTTTATTTCGTAAGTGTTTTACCGAGAGTATAGTAGAAGTAATAGTTCGTATAGATCCGTGTTTCTTAGTGCTTCTGAAAACGGATAAGTGTGGTTGTATCCTGCGACTCTTGGATCACAGAAATTCGTCGCACTACGAGCTATTCAAAGAGTTAAAGAAAGAGATCATAGTCTCGCCTCCACTCGTTTCTATTTACCTTAACGTTTATATTTAATCTCGTATTTCAATCGCTATTTTGTAGTGTTCAATCAATTTTGGTCCTACACTACCATGGTCAATTGCATCTCTTGAACTGTTTTTGTGTAAGTTTTATGGATCTTCCTCCTCGAGACCTTTGAGATGGGTCACCCATTTCAAACCTTGTAGCTCTCAAATCTAAGGCAGCTAACCAAGACATTCCCTTGCACAACTTCATCAGCCAAAGATCTGATTGAGAATAATTTGAAATTTTACCAAAGCAGGAGCAGAACCAAATAAAGTAGCAGTAGGGGCTGCTGGTTTTGCCTCTTCACATGTGAGGTTGGAGTGGATGTATTTGTAACAGGTGTTACAACAACAATGCTTGGTGTGTCATAGGCTGCTCCTATAGTAGAATCAATAGGAGCACATGCTAAGGGAGATCCAAGTGATGTAATGGGGCTGGTAATAGTTGTAGCAATAACAGCTTCAGTATTTATTTCAGTACATATTGCATCCATAGCTTCCAATGAATCAGTAACAACAATGGGGGTAGAGATAATAGAGTAAGCCACTTCATTAACATTAGGTTTATGAAGAAAT